ATACAGAAGCAGCACACATTGCTGTCCCTCCAACAGTGAAGAAGCTTTGTTGAGTATTCTATAACACTTCCAGTCTTTGTTCATGCTTTATTTTGAACTTCTATTGCATGGTTACTTGTAAACCTGTCTTTTAAGAACCACACCTAAAGTTCAAGGCAAAACGATGTAAATAGGTAATTAGAAACTTTTAAGTTTCTTTGGTCACGAATGTGTATCTGCTTCCTTAAATCCTTCAAAAGCAGTCTATCTCAGTGAAAATCTTGAACAGTTATCAAATTATATGCTAATTTAAAAGCAGGTAACTGATAATTGACTTCAACCTAGGGCATGTATTTCTGTAATGTTATACATCATCATCAAAGATCAGGTAGTATAAAAAGGATGTATGATAATCCAAGTGCCAAAAAAATGTAATCGACATGATAGTAGTGTACTCAATCAACTTGGAAGGAACTGATGCAACTTAAGCATGAAAAGGTGTAATTAGGATTCACAATATTATATTGAATAGTGATTTTAATTTTTAAAACAGATTAAACTTTTGAAATGCGAAATTTTTCACGCAAGTGCTAAAACATTTTGTAGAGAACATAGTCCTTATCAATATGCTATTTAAAAGTAGTTGAGGTGTTTGTATTTATCCTGAGTTGAATTATTGAGTCTAAAAGCAACATTTCTAAAATCATTCAGATATAGCCTATCAAATAGCTCTCTTTATGCTTCTTTCTTCATTAGAGATATACAATTCAGTTATTGATATTTCCTACTATCATACAATTGTCGCCAAATGCACAGATTAGTGTGCTATTTTAATCATATGACTGACTTACATTCCTCAATCTCTCAGTGAACATGAATGAAACTGTAAAAAGTCTGATTTGAATGATTTTGAATGTTAACTACATGTTTTCCATTTTAAGTTCACTCAAATTTATTTTCCATTTTATCAAAGCTTGGAAACGTAGGTCTTCAACAAGTGTTTTCAGCAAAAAGACTTAGATAAAACTTTAAAACGAAAACATATTGGTATCCAAAGCAAATACAATATTTTGATTCTGAATCGAAACAAAAACAATTGAAAAATATTTAAAGTATATCTTTTATTTTCTTTATTTTTTTCGAAAGACAGTGACCATTCTGTGAGCTCAGTACAATTTATAGTAATGATTATTGAAAGTTCTTGGTCTCATTTAGTGATTTTTATGCCTTGTTTAATTTTACCTGATCCTTTACTGTTTGAAACTGACGTCAGACAGTTAAATTTGACACTACCTGCTATTGTTTTTACCTTTGTGACAGATAATGACAGACTTTGCATATATTGAGTAATTAGTCATGCCATTCTTATTTGAACTCATTTATACTATATCAAATGCATAGTTCAAGTAAGGTGTACTGTCATTTAATATGACAATTTTGTCAGGTTAAAGGATGTGTATCAAAAGATATCTAAAAGAGTATAATGTATTTTTTTCATTGTTAGATATTTCTCTAGTAAGCAGAATATTCAATATTGCCTTGTGTTTGTTAGGTATTATAATGCTAGTATTTGTTCTTGAGGGTTTGTTATGTTCACAAAAATCACTGGAAGCACACATGAACATGTTATTGACCTGTTAGTTTCAAGGCCAGATTATAAACAGGTGTTGTCCCCTCATCATGTCAAGGTCATTTGTTACAACTATAAATAGTAAAATTTACAACTTTTCTGTCAAGTCTGGTAATTATGTATATGAAAGGTTACAGTTGAAGATTCAAGTTGCATTATCAAGTTTTTATTTTTAAGGTGTATAAAAACAGTTATTTTAATTTAATGCTCAGTATGGTGGAGAGTATGGTGTGCCTATTGTTTTAATTTGTGTTCAAGTTTAACTTTACACAAGATATGCCCAGTTTGTTTAAAAATCTTAGAGCTTTCCCATATCAGGAACTTTGGCATCAAAAAAAAGGTTAGGCATTTGCAGTATATGCAATACCAAAGGATATCGTGTAGCTTCTATTTTGTTAAGTGTTGCTGAGACACAGCAAAAAATGAGCTTAAGTTAAGTTTAAGTGTGAATTCATTTGAGCTCTGCTCCCAGATGTCTGTTGTGTTTTTTTTTTTTTTTTCAGTTCAACTTAATTTAACATGTAATTGATAATTTAATTGCACACCACCAAAAGGTTTGACCAGCAAATGATTATCATGTTCAGCATTGATGATATTGTGTAAACACTCTACCTGGAGTTTATTTAAGGTTAAAAGGTCATTTGTCAAAGACAATGGTTGTTTTCTGAGATAATAAGTTTAAAATCAAATGATGTACACCCATAGGTCAAAGCTCCACTCGTCAAGGACTGCTTTCAAGGACTGCTTTCAAGGACTTCTTGTTTTCAAATAGTTTAGATAATAATGATATTGACAACTTTCAATTGAATTTAAACATAGATATTGAACTGTAATGATTGAAATGATAAATAAACTGGGACTTTAAATTCGTGAAGGAATACAAAAATAAACTGAAGAAAAAGTAGTCCTAAAATCAGGCCATTGCTTTTCTCATTTGAATTGTATAAAGTTTGTCATGTTTGGGCCTCTAATAAAAAAGCTTACTATAAAGTATGGGTTTTACTTGTTGTTGAAGGCCGTACAGTGACCTAAAGTTGTTTACATCCTCTTTCATTGGTCAGTGGATGGTTCATTGTCACATTGGCAATCATACCACATCTACTATGTCCTGTTCATGCATTGCATGATCCAGGAGTACAGGAATAGTAATATGAATTCTTAATTTGTTTAATAGTTTTGTAATGATCTTAAGATAGTATATCAGCACTTTAAAATAGATTCTAACTTGTGTTTAGTTCTTCCAGCCTAAAACAAAGTTGACTATATATAGCCTGACATTTACATTAGTAAGACAAATCTCTAAATATGTTTGGATTGTGTTTGATTGTTCATTTTAGTAAAATGTTTCTTTTTATAGAACATTTGAATAAAAAGATGTTAGTATTACTGTTTGTACAAGACCACAGGAAGTTGTAAAGTATATTTAACAGTATGCATGTTGTAAATTTCCTCTGGATCTATTTTGAAATTGAAAATTTTGATTGTTAACAAGACGTTTCTTCAGGTTCATTTCTTAGGTTAAGATCTTTCTTGTCATTTATGTGAAGTTAAGTTTGAACTTGTGTGATCACAAGTAACTATTTGTTTTACAAATATACATTGCAGGCTTTGATTGTAGTTGTAAAGTTCCTTCATTTTTAAAGTGCTCCATTTCAGGAACCTGATAAAATACAGGATATTTATTAGTATAAAATCCAAACAAGCTGATTGTTACTTAAACATGAAAATAACACACATAAACAGCAAAACAATACAAAAATATAACAATTACAAAAAATATTTTAAAAAATCTAGATTCTTTTTTTTTTTTTTGGTTCCTCTTCTTTTTTTTTTTATATTTTAGACTTTTAACTTTTGATTTTGTCAGTTTTTATGGACTTCCCCTTTTTGAATTTGCCCTGGAGTTCATTATTTTGTTATACTTTTTTAGACAACAGACGATGCCTCCCCTCAAATTAGCAATATTAGATAATGATTTAATAAGTTGTTTCAAGTTCTGAAGAAAATATGACTATGCACTTGGTTGATTATGACTAAACGTCATAAACATTTCCTGGTGTACTTTTATAGTTGTTTGAGTATACCATGAATTAGTTAAAGTTTAATTAGTAAATAGTGGGTGTACACTGTATATGTACTTTCTTAGTTGATACAGTGTATCTCATGTTCAGTAGAATTATATTGTAGAACTTTCAGTTTGGTGCCCTAATTATCAGAATCCATTCAAAGTTCTTATAAAATCAATAGCATAACCATTTACTAAAATGATGTAGACTTTTGGTAGAGTATTCATGCAGTTAGGGGTGCCTCTAAAGGTTGAGCCATGTAGGTTGGAATTCTCTAGGTTATTGACCTAAAGAGGTCTGAGATGTAATTATTCCAGTTATTAGTTTTTAATTGGTAATATCCAGTTGTAACCAGTCAGGAAAATGTTATGTCCATGTAAATGTCTTGTTCTGTCCTCAAAACTTCCTCCATAAATGATGGTAGCCATTGCAAATGACCTATGGTTGAATGTTTAGGTGCTTGACCTTCATATGTCCTGAAATGAGAACATGACATGGTCAAGGATTTAATGGTGGTTACCTGTAGTGTAAAGTGTTTTCATAATTCAGCACTTTTATAACCTGTACATAACCATCATTTCTCTTTAAATAGAAGTGAAGTTTGGTCCTATATTTTATTGTTATAGTGGAACTGTTAGAACCAAGGTGAAAAGGCTCCTAGAATATATGAAAGCTTGAAAGTTATAAGTTTATAAATTAATATTTGAAAGTGGAAAATATTAAAGTGCAATTAGTGAACATACTAACTTTTGTTATACAGCGACTTCATTGAGTGAGAAACTGATTTTCATTGAAAAATATGGAATTTTACCCACCTAGTAGAATGTTTAATAATGTAAATGGGAATATATTTGTTTTTCCTGATCTAAGACTTACTCAAGCTTTGAAAGAAGTTGACTGGATGAGATTGTTTGATATTGAAGAGTAAGCACATAAATATATATGTTATAATTTTTAATGGCCTCTGTTTCCTGTAAACATAGAACTGCAGCAAAAAATAGATTGTATGAATATTTTTAAAATATAGTATTTCCTAGAGTAATGTGTTTTTTACATGAGAATAGTTTATGATGGAGAATTATTGACTGCATGGTTCTTGGATGAACTCTAGCCTAGTTTATTCCAAAGCATATGTGTTGGATTAATGGTTTATTTATTGATTTTACTTTCAGGTGATGGACAACAATTTCCAAGTTTGGTAATTGTGTTTCATTCACTCTGTACAAGTTATTGCAACAAAATATAATAATTCACTGTAGAGAGAATTTATAGCAATGGTCATTTTTTTTTATAAAAGTATAAATGTTTACTTTTGTCTTTTTCAGTGGTTCAAGTACTGTTGCTATTGATAACAAAATAGAACAAGCTATGGTAAGTAAAGACATATATTTTTGTAGACTCTTAATCTAAGATTCAATTCCTAAACTTGTTTTTAAAACAGTTATTATGAAACATTTTAATGTTACTGTTTTGATAGTGGTATTTAAAAAGCTTAGCAAAAGAATTGCAAAAAATATATAGGGCATTCAAGCATCAAGTGTATATAAACCCTTGATATTGCAACTTAAAGAAAAACACATCAACTATAGAATTCATTGCCTAAAAGACACCACTTTGTCATGTACTTTTCCTTTTAAGTATAAACTTTATGTATATATAAGATATTATGCAGTTGGTTGCTTCAATTTGCAACCATGTGCATCAAACATAAACATCATGAAATCAACACCATCAACAGGATATACATTCCACTGATGTAATTGATTGAGAAATTGACAGATGTTTATTTACTGTTACCATGAAGCTTTTTGTATTTAGAAAAAAAAAGAAGTATTGCATAATCACGTTTTAAGATATTTTGCAAAATATTATTAATGATTTACCAGTTATAAATGACAGATATCAATACATTTTTGTTAACAACTAAAACAATGTTCATTTGTACAAATTTTTACAGCCTTTCCTGAATATTATATACCACAAGTTTTGTAAATCAGTATTGGCTCTATTGCTATCAATAAAGTATTGCAAATTCATTTGTACTCTCCTGGCTAGAAGACAATTGACAAAGAAATTTCTCTGAAGCCATAATAGACCCAATTTAACCCTGAGCTTGTCTAATGTCAAAAATTATAATTATATGTTCCTGCTGATCAGCCAAGTTGGGCACCATTATTACTAAATGTATAACATTGTAAACGCAACTATAACTAATACAAAATAAATTATGTTAAGACTGATAGCTGTCATGATTTGGACATGTGATATATCTAATATCCCCTATAAGAATGATGACTGATTACTGCATCAGTAAATAAACCTGGATACAAAAAAAATACTAAAAATAGATATAAGTTGTCAAAAAATTAATTAAAATAGATATTAAAAACTCTTACAATGGACTTATTGCTAGGAAACCTCTGGTAATTTATAATAGAATTTATGAATTATGGTTGAAGACTCAAAATTTAATAGAAAGGGGTAAAGCTTCTATAGTATTTGGGGTCTCCTGTCATGGCAACAATCCACTTCTGGGAGCCCCATTTGTCTTGGCAGGAAAAAATCCTAAATCACCTCAACTAAAACATTTTAAATAAAAAAAAATTCCTGGGTTCTTTTTGTGAATGCACCCTATCTTCAGTGCAGAAATTCGCTGCATGCTTGTTTGCCTTAGTTTGGCATATATTCTTATTCAGCACTGTTGTTGATAAACAAGTGTGATGTAATTAAAAGCAGAGCAAATAGAAGACGAATGAATAAAACTATATATGACTACTAGTATTTGATGTTTTGTCCCCCAATCCAAAGCTAGGTCGTTGGTAAAGAAAGATTTAGCATAGATTTGCTAATTAAAAAAATTTCCTATGACAATTATATGCCCGTTGACGGGACCTATTATGGTATACCTCTGTCCGTCCACCGTCAACATGTCAGACAATAACTCAAAAATGCTTAAACCAATTTTCATGAAACTTTGGTGAATTGTTTATATCTATTGACGTAAGCTCCCTTTCAATTTTTATAACTTTTAGATTTTACTTTTCCAAGTTATGGGATTTTATTCATAAAAAAAGGGGGGATTTTCAAGTTTTCGGACAATAACTCAAAAATGCTTTGAGCAGTTTTCATGAAACTTTGGTGACTGGTTTATATCTACTATAATAAGCTCCCTTTGTTTTTTTATGACATTGAGGAGTTCTGGAACTTTATTCAATTGAAAAGGAACGGGCGTATCATGCTCTCATGGCACAGCTCTTTATTATATTTTCTTGAAGGAGTAGTTGTTAATAAAATTAATGTCTAATTGTTGTTTTCTGTGCAATCTGCCAATGAACTGTTGACTTGTGTATTGCAAATTAAAAAAGAATATCTATGGTCATTAAGTGTTACATTTGTAATACCCAAATTGAGCATTATGGACCTAGACGCTTCTCTCTAATATTTGGGAAATTTCAGGAATAATGGTACTTAAATCCTCATGTTGTGTCATATCATAAATCTGGTTTTTGGACACAACGATTGTACTGATTAAAAGTAATCCATTATTTTGGTGTTTATATGTTAGAACACAAATGCATTCCTGTTTTAATCTGAGCATCACATCTAATGTACTTGAATATTGTTTTACAAAACTTCGTTATTGATATGTCATGAATGTTGGTTTCTTACATCTTTTCATCCATTAAAGGGAAATTAAGGTGTCCAGAATTCTATTTTATTCAGTAATTAAATATGTAACCATAGTAACATTTACCTCAGAAACAACATCTAAAGATGGCAACAAATTGTTTATTGTGTTATTATAATGAAATCAATTTTTCCTCTTGAGTATTCAGAATAATTTCTGCAGAAGTTTTACTTTGCCGATTGTTTAAAATTATTGGCTAATATTTGACTAACTCAATAACGAGAGTATACAACATTGAGTATCTTGTTATATTTGACAATTGTATCAATATTTGATGGTCTGTAAATGTGTCTGGGGATCATAAGCTAGCTAACACTCCTTCCTAAATTGGCTTTACTTGATAGGACTTGACATGATAGTACTGGCTGTTTTTGTTTCTACACAAGTTCTGTGGAAAAAAGGTAAATGCCAAATGATTGATCATTACAAAGATGTATAAACAATTTGTAAACTTTAATCTACCATTGAGTAATCTTGTTTTTCCATAATATGACTGACTGGATTTTAAAGAGAAGGTTTAAATGGTTAAACAAAAACTTTGTTATGCAAAGATAACAACAAAATTGCATAATTGGAGTATTAGATTTAGTAATTTTAGGGCCAATGCAAAGGTATTTGTCAATTGCATATTTTCTGGTTTGGAACTTGAAAAGCCCTTAGCTCCTTCAGTTTGTTTTGTAATGCCTTTTTCCACAGTTCTGTTGTAGCCAACATATTTATCTGAACATCCAACAGTTATACTTTTGTAATGAAAAACCCAGTGAGTGTTTTTTTAATGCTTATTTTTATGTGAAGTAAACATGAAAATAATCAGGCTTACATATAAGTAGCCTAAGATATCAAAATATTATTTGCCATTTAGTTTACATTTTTTTTGTTTAAAGGTAATATTTTTGAAATTAAGTAAAACAAAGTTCTGAATTTCTGATGTTTTTGGGCATTATCTGATGTACAGTAAACAGACAGAATTGATTGTCAACTATAGTCTCCTTCTACATTGAATTTAAAATACACCGAATAGCTAATCTGCAAAATATCTGAAAGATGTAATTTTTTTTCCCGATTTTTTGTTATAAATGGTATATCTAAAAAAATCTAAACTGCATTCAATTCAAACTCAATATATTTATGTCATTGGAGTTAAGAGGGTATGAAATATTTACTCTTAATTTCATTTAGTAGTGTTCAGAATCAAGAATGAAAACACTTTCAAGATTAATCCTGAAACAATGCTATGAACAATTCCTATTTTATTTTTTTTAGGATCTAGTGAAGAGTCATTTGATGTATGCAGTGAGAGAAGAAGTAGAAGTTTTAAAGGAACAAATAAAAGAACTGATGGACAAAAATCAACAGTTAGAATATGAAAACCAAATCTTAAAAAATTCTGCTAGTCCTGAAACGCTCTCCAAACTTTCCAGTCCTTCATCATCTTCATGACAGCATCATAATGGATGTCTACAGATAAATTAAAACCATCATGTGGTGACACTGATGACCCAGGCCATCTCTATGGTAACCAGAGTTCATCAATATGGTTCAAGTGGTCTGAGTTACTCCTGTTGAAACTCAGCAATTGTCATGGCTACCCACTGGATCAATAGAATATGCTGTCCCAAGATATTGCAAAGCTAATTTTGACATTTTACTTATTAATTTCATACATAATCAGAATATCAGTATTATTTATTTTGTAATGGTATTGATTTAACATGTCAGTTATAGGAGAGAATATCATTTAGCTGAGAAAATTTATCTTGTTACTCTGATTACCAAAATTAGGCATACTTATTTCATTTTCAGGATTATGTAGGACCTAATTGTAAATAATAAATACTGTAAGGACTAAACTATATGAAAAAAAAACAGTTTTGGTAACAGACAGTAACTATATATTTAAATTTGGAAATTAGATGGGATTTTTATTTTATTTGTTAAAATTAACAAATAATTACCATATTAATGTATGCAATGAAAATACTTTAAAAAAAAGTTTTGGTTTTTACCATTTGGCCAGAATGTCCTCTCAATATTTGGCATATTTAATTTTTGATTTAAGAGAAGTTTTAATAAATTGGTTGGCTGTTACATTTAAGACATTATTAACTTGATGAAGAAAGGAAAGACTGTCTGCTTAATTCTGTAGCTTCAGTTTGTATTCTGTTTTCCCATCATTTTAGTGTTGCTTTTTGCTTAAAGATTCACTTTGTATGATATATAGATATTTGCAATGAATAATTACTGTATAATAGGATACTAGCTGTCCCTGATTGCTTTGAACAGACTTTTTGCTGAGGTATTTAAATTCATAAGATGAGGAGGTTAAAGAATAGAACTGTACATATACTGCACACAATAATAGTTGTTCATATTGAACCATGGTTTTGCACTTACAAAGTAACATGGTATTCACAGCATTAATGAGAATTTGTGGTAAACAAATCGAAACTGAAAACAAACTATACATATTAATGGAATTACACCATTTATTTTATAGGTTGCGTTTTTTGTGGACTTATAATTGAATAGAATGAAATGACTATCTCAATGCCAATTTCTTGAACAAGGGGAGATAACCCAAACAATTATTAATGTGGCCAGTACAAATCCCTGTTATCGTTTTGTTTGACATTAAACTTTAATAATGCAATTTAATGTTAAAACAATAAATTTATAAATATAATTGTATATGTGTATTATATGTATATTGATGTAACAAATATTGTTATATTTTAATAGAATATATTATATATGAAAATAATTTAATTTTCATCTTTCTTCAGTTTTATCATTTAATATCAGCTTAACATGAAGTCTCTTTTCATGTTTCTTTTAAATAAATTGCATATTATTTGGCTTGGTTATAAAAATTCCTAAAATCATATGATTTTTAAATACTTCCTTTTGAAATAAATGTTATTTTAAATTTAAAAAGTTTATACTTTATATGAGTTAATACATAAAGGATATGTGTTCTTACCTTTTGAAAACTGTTGGGTCTGTTTTAAATAAATTAGAATGGTAAGCAAAAGTACAAGTTATTCAAATTTCAATAACCAGTAGATCAAAATTATTTTTCCAAATGGAATTATTTTACTGGACAGATAGACCCAGTCATTTTTACATGTTTAGAAAATTGTCATATAATCGAGTTTTTAGAATTTTACTTTTTATTGTTATTTGCCTTTCAAATGTAGTAAAATAAGTTTCAAGGAAGTGCTATAATTTATTTTGAAGGAAAGTGTTATATGTTTTATATTTTGTTTGCAATGTTGAAGTATGATAAGAGATACTGTGTTTTAACAGATCTAATTAGTATGTTCACACAAACACTTACTCAAAATGTAACTAAAAAGCTTTGATTAAGAAGTCCTAACTGCATTTTGCTAAATATTGAATATTTTAAGAAATTGTTTACTATTTCTTATCGCTGATTAATGGCATATTCATCAAAGAGACATTTATTGTATTGTTTTGATAAATGACTCTTTATGAATATGTATAAAATGATGAAAACAATGTTTGAGTATATCAGACAATTTATCTTTTTTATATGGGGCAAGGGAGGGGGTGACATTTTGAATTATAAATGGTAACTGCTTGATTACTTTTGAAATTTAGACAAAAATTAGACATCAGCTTAAGTTTAGGTCTTTTATAATTATGTTGAAAGAAATGTGTTGGGGTACCTGAAAGTTGATTTGTTCCTGCATTTTTTAATTCTTCATCAATAAAAATTATGACTTCTTTTTTTTTGTTAAATTGGTTGTGTTAATTGACCATGAAGACCTATGAAAATGTTATTCAAAAGAAGAAATGTGATATGTAAAGCCTGTATAAAGAAAAACTACATTTATCTCAAAAGGATCTGCAAATTTTAACCAAATAATCTGGTCAAGACATATGCAGCTTGTAATATTCAAATTGTTGACACTTTCAACAGAAATCATTTTTTTAATAAAAAATTACGTTGTCTTGCAGGTGTTTTTACAGTAAAATATTGTCTGGTATATTTAAAATCTTGAAACTTGCTGGAAGATGATTAAGAAACCAAAATGAGATTCTTCTGGTAAGGAAGATAACTTGCCATTGTGATATGAATGTAATGTGCAAAAGTAGGATAAATTGGAGAGAAATATGACATTTATAAACTAAATAACATTACCATGAAATTAAAATAAATTTAATTTACAATTTTTATTGTTTTGATTATTTAAAGTGCCAACATCAAGTGGAATTTAAAAAGTATCGGTCATACCTGTCAACTTTTACCATATACTCCTGTAGTCTATATTATATATGTAGTCTATATTATATAGACTACAGGCTTTCCCCTTGTTCCTATTGCATCATCATGACTGAAAAAAGCTGTTAAAAGTGATTTTATCAAAATCTACACGAAAATATTTGTAGTTCCCGATTTGAACTTTTACCAAGAGAAACAATCTTGATAAGCAATATTAGCCAATCAAAATCGGTATTTCTCATGGTAACGTTTTCTGATACCCTGATTAATAATTCAATTGTAAACATGCAAAAAATTCCAACTTGTTTGAAACTTTTGAGTTGTATTCCTCTGTCTGTATGTCAGAATTGTAAAAATTGTGATCATGGTGAATGAATTTTCATTTGCATGAAGGTTCTTATGTCGTGTATTAAGAAAAGCATGGCTGATTGACAAATTGAAAGATGGGATTATCACATGCCTTTCACCAAGTCTAAATAGAGACTGGAATGTTGACCATGTTGGCCTGAATGACATTTTAAAGCATGCAAAAACTATAAACTTAATCAGATGTCCTTCACAGTTTAAAACACTACCAAGTCTGTGAATGACTTCATTGTAGGAACATATGTTGAGCAACTCCAGACAGTCCAGCAAGCATGTACAGTTACTACATAAGACATAAGGCATTATAAAGTTTCCCTGTAGTTGATGCAGACTTTGTAGAAATATGTTTTACCACATTAACATCTGGTCAAGACATATGAAGCTTGTATGATTCAAATTGTTGACACTTTCTACAGAAATTATATTTTATAATAATGACTTTGTCTTACAGGTGGTTTTTACAGTAAAATATTGTCTGGTATTTGCAGATCCTTTCTAATTAATGTTAAATCAAACTATTGAAATATGAATCCAGTTTAAAACAAATCAATTCTTTGATTGGTTCACATCTATGAGAAAAAATTCATGGGAGTAGATTTCCCATACAAACAAGCCATATCACTTGACTACTAAATTATCTAGGACCTGATTTCACCTTTATTGTCTCTGATTTTGGTGATTTAAGCCTGACAACATCTGTCAAAATTGCGGTTTTGGACTGTACATAGTCAGACGTTTATCATTTGATGCTCTGTTTAGAAAATTTTCCGTAATTGCGTTAGAAGCTTTAAATACACACATGGATCTATGATACTATGTGTTTAAGTAAAGATTAAAAGTTTCTTTTTGGAAATGACCCTGCTGTCAAATAAATACAGTCGAAATGGGTCCTACCTCTTTGACAGAAACTACAGAAATCTGTCATCAACACCAACTTCTTTAAAGTGCAGAAAAAAAGAATCCCAACTTGAAACAAAGACAAGAAGAAGAGGCGATTTTCTGACTTGTGACCAGGCTTGTTGGTCATGTTATTTAGACATTTCGAAAAAGTCAAAGAAACATGATTATTCTACAACCTTTTTGAGCGACAATGTTGTGCAAATTGTATTCTTTGCATAAAGAGACAACATTTGAGGGTGATTTTTGGGTTCTTTTACACAGAAGTATGATTTCCAGTGGCCAAAAAAAAAAGAGTCGAGTCCAATTGTATTGGACAGGCTGCTGACAGATGCCTATTCACAGGCGCGATCCCACTACTGATCGACACGGGGACTTTTGCCTGCTGCGTTTCCGCCCTTGGCCTGTACGTCCCTCCTTAGACAACCTGGTCACACTGAGCTCCCTCGGTGTGCCCATATTGATACCGATCTTAGTGCGGACGCCCGCTCAACATAGATCACCTGAAAGCAGGACTCCTGCCCTCACACCGTTCACCGACTCTGGTCTCCAGGTAGCTAGATCACAGGAGCACGCCACAACTCCCAACCGATAAACATGTGGAAATATCCACTATTTATACATGGCATAAAATCATACTTGTATAAGCTACATGTTTGTATTTTTAAATCATTACAGATTTATTTCGAACATGCAATTTAAGTTAGAAAGTACTATCAATGTATATACATGTACACGTGGCAGTGTGTCCATATGGTTACGAGTACGAAAACTAAACTGAAGAAATTCAATTTCCTTAATTATCATCAGAGTGTTATTCAGTGTTACAATGCTGCTGTTGAAGTTATTGTGATAAAACAAAGCAGAAAAACAAACAAAACAAAAAATTAAAAAAAAAAAAAAAAAAACACTTTACAAGTTTTTGTGAAATTTTACATCGAACGACGTCGCACACAAAAGTGAAATTATTTGCATTCGAAAATCTTGGTCTTGTTTGGTTAAGGACGACCTTTTTATGCAGTTTTTTGGGATGGATACTCAAATTTTGCCAACATCTGTCAAAATTGCGGTTTTGGACTGTACATAGTCAGACGTTTATCATTTGATGCTCTGTTTAGAAAATTTTTCGTAATTGCGTTAGAAGCTTTAAATACACACATGGATCTATGATACTATGTGTTTAAGTAAAGATTAAAAGTTTCTTTTTGGAAATGACCCTGCTGTCAAATAAATACAGTCGAAATGGGTCCTACCTCTTTGACAGAAACTACAGAAATCTGTCATCAACACCAACTTCTTTAAAGTGCAGAAAAAAAGAATCCCAACTTGAAACAAAGACAAGAAGAAGAGGCGATTTTCTGACTTGTGACCAGGCTTGTTGGTCATGTTATTTAGACATTTCGAAAAAGTCAAAGAAACATGATTATTCTACAACCTTTTTGAGCGACAATGTTGTGCAAATTGTATTCTTTGCATAAAGAGACAACATTTGAGGGTGATTTTTGGGTTCTTTTACACAGAAGTATGATTTCCAGTGGCCAAAAAAAAAAGAGTCGAGTCCAATTGTATTGGACAGGCTGCTGACAGATGCCTATTCACAGGCGCGATCCCACTACTGATCGACACGGGGACTTTTGCCTGCTGCGTTTCCGCCCTTGGCCTGTACGTCCCTCCTTAGACAACCTGGTCACACTGAGCTCCCTCGGTGTGCCCATATTGATACCGATCTTAGTGCGGACGCCCGCTCAACATAGATCACCTGAAAGCAGGACTCCTGCCCTCACACCGTTCACCGACTCTGGTCTCCAGGTAGCTAGATCACAGGAGCACGCCACAACTCCCAACCGATAAACATGTGGAAATATCCACTATTTATACATGGCATAAAATCATACTTGTATAAGCTACATGTTTGTATTTTTAAATCATTACAGATTTATTTCGAACATGCAATTTAAGTTAGAAAGTACTATCAATGTATATACATGTACACGTGGCAGTGTGTCCATATGGTTACGAGTACGAAAACTAAACTGAAGAAATTCAATTTCCTTAATTATCATCAGAGTGTTATTCAGTGTTACAATGCTGCTGTTGAAGTTATTGTGATAAAACAAAGCAGAAAAACAAACAAAACAAAAAATTAAAAAAAAAAAAAAAAAAACACTTTACAAGTTTTTGTGAAATTTTACATCGAACGACGTCGCACACAAAAGTGAAATTATTTGCATTCGAAAATCTTGGTCTTGTTTGGTTAAGGACGACCTTTTTATGCAGTTTTTTGGGATGGATACTCAAATTTTGCCAACATCTGTCAAAATTGCGGTTTTGGACTGTACATAGTCAGACGTTTATCATTTGATGCTCTGTTTAGAAAATTTTCCGTAATTGCGTTAGAAGCTTTAAATACACACATGGATCTATGATACTATGTGTTTAAGTAAAGATTAAAAGTTTCTTTTTGGAAATGACCCTGCTGTCAAATAAATACAGTCGAAATGGGTCCTACCTCTTTGACAGAAACTACAGAAATCTGTCATCAACACCAACTTCTTTAAAGTGCAGAAAAAAAGAATCCCAACTTGAAACAAAGACAAGAAGAAGAGGCGATTTTCTGACTTGTGACCAGGCTTGTTGGTCATGTTATTTAGACATTTCGAAAAAGTCAAAGAAACATGATTATTCTACAACCTTTTTGAGCGACAATGTTGTGCAAATTGTATTCTTTGCATAAAGAGACAACATTTGAGGGTGATTTTTGGGTTCTTTTACACAGAAGTATGATTTCCAGTGGCCAAAAAAAAAAGAGTCGAGTCCAATTGTATTGGACAGGCTGCTGACAGATGCCTATTCACAGGCGCGATCCCACTACTGATCGACACGGGGACTTTTGCCTGCTGCGTTTCCGCCCTTGGCCTGTACGTCCCTCCTTAGACAACCTGGTCACACTGAGCTCCCTCGGTGTGCCCATATTGATACCGATCTTAGTGCGGACGCCCGCTCAACATAGATCACCTGAAAGCAGGACTCCTGCCCTCACACCGTTCACCGACTCTGGTCTCCAGGTAGCTAGATCACAGGAGCACGCCACAACTCCCAACCGATAAACATGTGGAAATATCCACTATTTATACATGGCATAAAATCATACTTGTATAAGCTACATGTTTGTATTTTTAAATCATTACAGATTTATTTCGAACATGCAATTTAAGTTAGAAAGTACTATCAATGTATATACATGTACACGTGGCAGTGTGTCCATATGGTTACGAGTACGAAAACTAAACTGAAGAAATTCAATTTCCTTAATTATCATCAGAGTGTTATTCAGTGTTACAATGCTGCTGTTGAAGTTATTGTGATAAAACAAAGCAGAAAAACAAACAAAACAAAAAATTAAAAAAAAAAAAAAAAAAACACTTTACAAGTTTTTGTGAAATTTTACATCGAACGACGTCGCACACAAAAGTGAAATTATTTGCATTCGAAAATCTTGGTCTTGTTTGGTTAAGGACGACCTTTTTATGCAGTTTTTTGGGATGGATACTCAAATTTTGCCAACATCTGTCAAAATTGCGGTTTTGGACTGTACATAGTCAGACGTTTATCATTTGATGCTCTGTTTAGAAAATTTTCCGTAATTGCGTTAGAAGCTTTAAATACACACATGGATCTATGATACTATG